CCCCAGGGCCAAAAATATAAAGAAATAATAAGGAAAACCACAATGTATTTATTAGGCCATAAACATTTCCATGTAGACATTATAGGACCTCTCTGGGAGTCAATTTTGCACCTCATGTGAAAAGAATTAGAAAAATCCATAATTTTAATCCAGTAATTTTCATCTTATGAAAATGTATTCAAAGCAAATTATGAGGAAAATTCATAAAAACTCAACTGCAAGGTGCTTTATTCAGCAACGTTTCACTAATAACGAAACACCAGAGATGCATAAACACCTGACAACGGGGATGGAAATGTTCTGTAACCATTAATTAATAGTGTAATTTAAAAATCAGGATGCAGAGGTTGGGTACGTATGGTTCATTGGGAGAGTACTTGCCTACACTTGCCTAGCATGAGGATGGCCATGGGTTCGGTTCCTGGCACCACCAAAAATAAAAAGAGCAGAATGAGGACACAGACGATTACTGTAGTGCAGTCTCATCCCATAGGGAACTACATGCACACAGAAAGGACTGGGGGATGGGAATGTGCCAGAATGTTTACACTGATCCGTACGTGGTATTGGTGACGTCCCTATGCGTGCTCGCTCTCTCGCGCGCGCGCTCTCTCTCTCTCTCTCCTCCCCTCCGTCCCTTCATCCCTCCCTCCTCTGTGGTTTCTCTGTGGAACAGCCCTAATTGTCCTGGAACTAGCTCTTGTAGACCAGGCTGGCCTCAAACTCACAGAGATCCCCCTGCCTCTGCCTCCAGTGCTGAGATTAAAGGTGTGCACCACTACCACCCAGCTCTTATGCTCTTCTTTTAAGTATTTTTTTTTAACACAGAACAAGTATTATTTTTAAAAAGATTATTATTTATGTATATCTGTGTATATGTATGTAAAGCGTGTGTGTATGGATATTTGTATGTGCCTCATGTCTGCAGTACCTCATGCGCACAGTGCTGAAGGAGACTAGAAGAAGGTGCCAGATTCCCCTGGATCTGTAGCTGTAGACAGCTAAGAGCACCAAGAACCAAACTCAGGTTCTCTGTGAGAGCAAGGGGTGCCCTTAGTATACAAGCCCTCTCTCCAGGCCCAAGTGTTACTTTTGTAATAAAAAATAAAATTGAGGACCTGAGAAAAATCTAGCCATGTCTGAAAATGAACATGGGTGATTTTGAACTGTGTAGCAGGCTAAGAACCATGTGACTGCTGGTAACTGTGTTCTCCTTTCTTCCAGGGCGACACTTCCGGAGACTACAGAAAGGTTCTCCTCATTCTCTGCGGAGGAGATGGCTAAAACAAGACCCAGGACAGGAGGCTTATTAACGCTGATTTTTTTAAACTTCATTTTTCTGCACTGCTATTAACATTATCTCAAATGCCTATTTCCAATTAAAACGCCTCCAGCTGCCTCCTGTGATCTAGGCTGTGTTATTATCGTCTATAGTTAGTCATTTTGATGCCTTAAACCTGTACTTTCAAAGCTTTTAAATGGAGATTTAGAATTAGAAATTAAAATGTTCTCCATGTCTGTAACAGATTATTTCCTCATTTGTGTTTTGCGGAGATTGAATGCACCAATTCCTTTTGGATTTTCTTTTCAGTAAGAATTTTACAGGACAGAAGTGTTCTCTTCCCTGGGCAGCCAGTCATTTCTTCATGTGGTATCCTGGGCATCTGTTACTGATAATTTTCACCCCGTTTCCTATTTTGCACAGCTGTGGACGAAGTTCCCATGAGCCTCCTTTCTTTGACTGTATCCATCATGTTAACTGCTAAGTACTGTGGTGTGGCAGGCTTCATGTCCCCTTGCACTGAGACCACCTTCTCCCCAAGAAATGTAGTAAAGTCACCAACTCCGCAAACAAGTTCAATCTCAATAGTGGCTCAGTGGAGCCCAGGAGTCTTAGTCATCACACACCAAGCATTGCAGTCTTGGGGCTCCTGTCCCAACCTTACTCAAGGTGACAGGAAAGAGCAAGACTCAGATGAGGTTCCTGGTTCACAATGCTTTGGGTTGTGGCTAACCTAAGGGAATTTTTTCTTCAGTTAAAAATAATCTCTTTAAATTGTTGATTTGATTCCCACTGTGCCTTTTTGATCCTGCAATCATTCAGACATGGTGCTTGCATGTAATCATGAAGTTTGGTTTGTATACAACCTGAGAAATTTTTAATTAAAAAAACAGTGACTTTAAAGGGATGTGTATTCTTTCTGTTTGATTTTTTCCATGTTGGAGATGTTTTTCTTCCTGAGCCATGGAAGGAACTATTTTGAAGGAATCATGATACTAAACATCAACATAAAAGAATAACACATTAATCATATGTTAGCCTGCTTCTATAAGATCAGTGTTTACACTCAGAGGTGGAGGCAGGAGGATCAGAACCCTCCCTGGCTACTTAGCCAGTGTGAGGCCAGCCTGAGCACACAAATCCCAGCCTCAAAAAAGCAAAACTAGGGCTGGGGCGATGGCTCAGAAAGTAATACACTTGCCGCTCAAGCACAAGGCACAGTGTTTGGATCCCTGTCACCAATGTGAAAGCCAGACACAGCCAGTGAGTGTGTGCCTGTAACCCAAGGCTGGGATGTGGTGATGAATGGATCCCAGGGGCTCAGTAGCCAGCACTTATAGCTGAACCAATGAACTTCAGGTTCAGTGGAAGATCCTGTCTCTGATGATGAGGAGGAGGACGAGGAGGAGGACGAGGAGAAGGAGGAGGAGGAGGAGGAGGATGTAGAGAGTACGACACTGATATTGTCTTCTGGTTTCCACATGGGCACATGCACACACTCTCGAGTACACACACACCCAAATAAATAATAATATAACACTGAGAAGGGTCAGTAGGTAAAGGGCTTTGCTGCCAAGCCTGAAAAACCAAGGCTGAAACCCTGAGTTTAATCCCCAGAACCCACATGGTGGGGAGAACAAGGAATGGCACCCCCTCACACTAAAACAAAGTAGCCAAACAAACAAAACCAACAAAACCATTGACATTTATGAATGCCAAACACTACTCAATGATATTAAATGACTCTGAAAATGAGTGACACTCTGTTCCACTCAGAACGTGTACAGTAAACGTTACATACACGGTCAGAAATGTAGCTCAGTGGGATCGAGTCATCCCTTGCTTTCTTAGCACCACAAAGGACAAAAGTTACAGATGCACAAAGAACACACTTCCCTTTGTTCCCGCTGCAATGGGGCCTGCACTTTGATGTGGGAACCATAGACAGCATGCTGATGTGACCCGTCATTCCAGTTAACACAGATTTGGGAACCAACGCTACCTCCTCAGAACTGTGGAATCTCTACTCCAACTTCATTACCTTTTGGAAGCATTATGAGGTTCTTTGTTCTAATTTTAGTAGATGTTTAACCTTTAAATGACGTCTTAGCTAGAATTTTAAACATTTCTGAGGTTGGAACAGTGTTTTGTGACTGTGTACTTTCAGTGGGCTGAGTTTTTCTTGCTTTAAGTGTAAATTCAGAGGGAAGGTAGAAAGTCACAATTCTCATGTTCATGATTAGCTTAAGGAGCTACAGTTTTGTTTCGCATATGCCAGTCTATTCCTTTGCAGCCACCCTTCTCTTCCTTCAACGTTTACCTCAACCTGCCTCAGCTAAGGGCCCTCACAATTCCTCAGGGTTGAACAAACGCAAGACCTCGGTAGCCTGCAAAGTACACGGCCAAAAAGGAGTGCAGATGGCGCATTGATGCGGTCAGTTCTGGGAAGAATTTGGCAAGAGCTCAGAAAGTTGAAAATTTCCCAGAAAATCTGTTTCCAGGGATCTGCTTGATGAATCTTTTATGGATAATGTTCATGTCTGTTCTAAAGGAGTGTTAAAGACAAAATAATGGAAGCCCCTCGGCAAGGAACTGGAAAATCATGGGTCTTCCCACGAGGGTGACCATAACTAAAGATTTAATCCAAAGTATAGTTTTAAGAGAGGAGAAAGGCTCTGAATCATAGGTTTGGGAAAGTCTGATTCCATTTAAATTACATGTCTGAATGTGCTGCAGAAAAGTGTCTGAGTGGCGTGTATAGACATGCACAGAGAAAGCATGGAGAGGCGAGGATGTAAGCAGAGGGGGTACACAAGGGGGTTTCTCATCTTCTTATCATTATCCATTATATCTCAATCAAGCTGAAGGCGGAAGGAGAGCGAATCAAAGTAAGTGTGAAAAAAAGTCCAAGCCCTTAGTGGGTCCGCAAGTATTTGTATTGCTCTATCTGAAACATTTCATTATGAACATTTTACTTTGGAAAGTATAGAAGGCCGGCATGGTAGCTCATGCCTCAACTCCCAGCACTCAGGGGCTAGAGTTCCAGGCCAGCCTGAGCTTCAGAGTGAGACCCTTCCTTAAAAAAGGAAAAAGAAAGAAAATCGATGTAACTGAATTGGTAGTGCTTAGCATTCACGAAACCCTGGGTCGGATACCCGGCAATTAAATAGGCTGGCAATGTTGCACGTGCTGAAAATCCGAGAAAAGCATTTGAGAAGTGGGCACAGGAGATCAGAAGTTCAAGATCATTCTACAGAGTCGAAGGCCAGCATGTAATACAAGACCCTGACACAATAAAATAACCAAATCGAAACAAGGCAGAAGAAAGGAGCCAGGAACTGGAGGCTGGTTGTGGTTCCCGATCGACACCTCTCAACAACGCGGGGTAAAGGTCGTCTAGTCAGGACGGTATGGTCCCAGAGCCCAGAAGGGGAAGCAAAGGCCATAATGACATGTCCGTCCACAAACTGACTTCACAGTGCTGGAGAAGACCCCTGGCTCGAGGAAGCTCGCGGGAAGAACCAACGACGGGGTCCCCAAACCCGTCGAGCACAAGCACCCAGCGCCCACGCCCCTATGTAAACGCCGGAAGCACTGAAGATTTGCCCTCACCCGGGCTGAGCTAGGCGGTGGCGTGTCCGATACCTGCGCATGCGCGACCTTGCCGAGCAGGTCCCACCCCTTCCGGGGGCTCGCCGCACGCATGCTCTCTGCGGCGCGCGCTTTTGTTGCGAGAACGAGGGGGCGAGGTCTTGAGGAGCCGGCGGCTGTGGCGCGGCGGGCGGGGCGGAGGATGGAGATGATGACTGCGTTCTCGGCGACGGTTGGGGCCGTGCGCGAGGCGGCTGCCGAGTAGGCGGTGGGGCGTCAGGCATGGCGGGGCGGCCCCTTGGCGCTCCCTAGGCGTCGGAGCCATGGGCGCGCTGAGCAGCCGGGTGCTGCGGCCCGCGGGGCGCGCTGAGCAGCCCGAACCCGCGTCCGGTTCTGGGGGCGCGTCCCGCTGGTCAGACGCGGGCGAGGATGCGGCCCAGGGCTTCTGTTACTGTCCGGGCGGCCGCAAGCGCAAGCGCAGCAGCGGCACATTCTGCTACTGCCACCCCGACTCCGAGACAGACGAGGACGAGGACGAGGGCGACGAGCAGCAGCGGCTGCTAAACACCCCGCGCAGGTACCGAGCTACGGGCAGCCGGTGCCCTTGACAGGAGAGTGCGGGGCGGCCGCGCGGAGGGGGGTGGGAGGGTCGGTGTGGGAGCTGAGCTCGTGCGGGGCAGACCTGAGATCAGTGCGGGAGCCGGCGCGTGCTGGGCTAACTGGGGTCAATGCATGAGCTGGACGTCTGCAGACAGACCTGGGGTCAGTACGGGAGCTGGACGTCTGCAGACAGACCTGGGGTCAGTGCGGGAGCTGGACGTTTGCAGACAGACCTGGGGTCAGTGCGGGAGGTGGACGTCTGCAGACAGACTCGGGGTCAGCGCGGCAGTGGACATTTGCAGATAGACCTAGGGTCAGTGTGGGACCTGGGCGTTTACAGACGCTTGAGGTCAGTCCGGGATGCGGGCGTTTGCAGACACCTGGGGTCAGTGCAGGAGCTGAAGAGCCTAGGGTTCTGCACTTTACCCAGAATCTTCCTGAATGTCAGAGCCTCAACCTGGGACAGCAAGGACTAGCCAGAGCATCTGCGGACATCTCTAGTGTGCCTTTGCTTTCTGAGTGGGTAGCCACAGGAAGACTTGCCTGGCGTGGACACCTCTCTGTGTCCACTTGACGGACCAGTGATTGCACATGTGAAGACTGGCTGTACTGTACGTTCCCCCGAATTAAGAATAAAGGCTTGTCAGAGTAGGCTTCTTGACGTAGGCTCTGATCTGTGTAGGTTGCCTAAGATTTTTGAGGGAAGAATTGAAAAAAAAAATGCTTGTAAAGTAAATGTGGCTTACACCAGAATGTATTTTCATATAAGGGATATATTTTCTCTTTTTTCTCTTTTAAGGTCAATGTTAGAATCACACAGATGTAATTTTTAATGAAATTTTTAAAAACTTATATGCTCAGTATTTTGCTACACATGCACTGCATTTTAGTTGACAAAAAAGTCTAGGTGCTGGAGATGTGGCTCAGTGGCAGAGGTAACATATAAATAGCATAGGTAAAAACCAGATTGATATAAAACCCTGGCATTAGGGTTTATGTGTGAATGTATTTACAAGGTGGATATACAGAAAAATGGAAATACTATTTCCACTTCATAAAGTTGCACAGATTTAGCCCAGCAAAGTGGCACAAGCCCGTCATGTGTAAAGTCTGGTGGCCGAGACAGGAGGATCTTAAGTTGGAGGTTAGCCTGGGCCAGAGAGTGAGTTCAAGACCTTCCTGGGCTATATATGGTGACCCTGGAGAGAAGGGATAGGAGGAAGGGGCTGGGGAGTGTTGAGAGCGCTCAAGTATTTAGACCTAAGAATGAGCACAAATGAGGTAGCTGAATTTTTTTTTAAGATTTATTTTTACTTATGTGTATGTCTGTATGTAGGTTTGTGCACATTCCTGCAGAGTCCAGGTAACCAGGGTAGTGGATTCCCTGGGACTAGAGTTACAGGGATGTTGTGAGCCCCTAATATGGATGCTGGGAATTGTACTTGGATCCTGAATAAGAGCGATATATGCTCTTCACTCCTGAGTCACCTCTCCAGGCCCACAGTGCCTGCCTTTTGTGCACTCAGTAAGTATTAGAACTCTTTGATGAACTGACCCTTATGTCATAAGATGTGACTTAGCCACTCCCACTTCCTTTTCGTAGTTGATGTACCTGCTCCATTCTTTTCTAACCTATATCCCACATCCCATCAACCAACCACCCCATCAGACAACCCCTTCCGTAACCCAGTGCTTTATCCATTCTAGGTAAACTCTACTGACAGACTATTTCCCCAGCAGCATCTTTTCACAGATGTGCCTGCATATGGAGGGCCTTTCAGTATTGCTCTTCACCTTACTTTTTTGAGGCAGAGTCACTTTACTAAAGTGGAGGGTCATTGATTGCTAATCGAGCCAGCCAGCAAGGTCCAAGGATCTGCCTGTTTCCCCGTACCCCATTAGGATTACAGATGCTGGCAATTCAATTTGGGTTGCTATCTTCACTCCCACCCTCACCCCCATCCCTGCTTACCCCCTATTCAACTCAGGTCTTTGTGCTTGAAAAGCACTTTCTTGTCTGAGTAACTGCCCAGCCCCTGTTTGTGTATATATATTTAAGGTAGGTATGTATACAACATATAATTGAATCTTGCTTTTAAAAAAAAAAATCCAGTAAGACAGTCTATGCCTTTTGATTAGTTTGTAGACTATGTATGTTTAATGTAATTGTTGAAATATATGACAGAGCACACATTTTAAAGAAGAGAAACTGATCTGAAAAAGGAAATTTTAATATAAATCTTACTAACAAAGAATAAGAAATTAACTATTAAAGACAAAATATAAGAAGAAAAGATCTTTTTTAGAAACGTACAGGACACATACCTATAATCTCAGCACTGAGGAGGCTGGGACAGGAGACTCAAGGTTCAAGGACAACCTAGGTTATGTTGTGAGACCCTGTTTCAAAAAAAAAAAAAAAAAGAAAAGCATGTCAGAATTCAGAGTGTGCGTGTCTAGTAGATGTCTGACTTCAGAATGAAAGTGTAAGAAAATTCTTGGCTTCATAATTTGGGTTGCTGATTCTGATTCCTTGTCAGGTTGTCCGTTGTGCTTGCCCACCTCAACAAACCTGCTTGTGAAAAGCTTTAGCTCCTGTGCCCACCCCTCAACTAACCCTTCTGCTAACTGCCTGTCTTTTACATGGACACAGTGCTAACATTCACACTGTTCTGCAGCAGATTTTCTGCATCATGTTCACAGGTTATTTGTAAAGAAATGGAAATCTAGTGAGCAGGTGTATTCTGACTGTATAAGTCAGTCACTGATAGCAGGCTGTGGACAAGGCTTACAGAGCACTTTTCTCAGGCCTATGTCAGGGGGAGCATTTGGTAACCTCATGGTTAGACTAAACATTCACTTTTTGGAATGCAGTGTCACTGATCCGTGTTGGGACTGAGCCCAGGACTTCATGGATGGTAGGCAAGTACTCTGTCCTATGAGCTACATTCCTAGCCTCTGGGGTCTTTTCTCACTTCCTGTCAAGTGCTTCCAGCTGGGCTGATTCTGTTTGTATTTTATTTACATAAATATATCTACATAAATATCTACATTTATTTTTGTTTGAGGAAGGCATTGCAACAGTACATGTACAGAGTTCAGAAGACAGCTTGAGGGGTCTGTTTTCTCCTTTGACCATGTGGATTTCAGGGCTCGGTGTCTAGTCTTCAGGTCTGGTGGGCAAGGTTACCTGCTGAGCCGTCTCCCCCCACTAACTCCCCCTTCAGTGTCTCATTGTGTAGCTCTGGCTGGTCTGGGAGTCACAGTGATCTTACTACCACTATCCCCGCCTGATCCTGGGGTGAAGTCAGTGTTGCCATGCCTGGCCTGGCTCCCTTTTAAAAGTTTCTTGTTGTCCTAGAGTTTCTCGCTGCATAAAATAATAATATCCTTTTATTGTGTTTTGAGATTTTTCTCACTCTTTTGAGGTACCCTTGCATGGAACCCATCTTTGAACCCTAGACTGCCTACAAGGGCCTACCCTTTCCTCCAGTCTGAGTCTGCCTGCTTCTAATTATTATAACTGGGGTTCTCAGTAGTTCAGTAGCTTCTCCCTCTTTCTTTCTCCTTTATTTCTTTTCTTTTTCTTTCTTTTTTTTTGGTTTCCAAGACAGGGTTTCTCCATAGCTTTGGAGTCTGTCCTGAAACTTGCTTTGTAGACCAGGCTGGTCTTTAACTCACAGATGTCTGCACTTTTCTACCTCCCAAGTGCTGGGATTAAAGAAGTACCCCGCCCCCCAGCTTTGTCATTTCAGTGAACTACATCTTCAGATATTTTCTCATGGAAGAGTGGAGAAGGTGATTATTTTTGCTTATATAAATGTAAACTTAGTCTCTGTTTTTTCCCTCTGACTGCTTATGGTACTTTATATGACTTTCCATATCTTTAAACATCTACTCTTTTTATAGCTTTTATTTTTGAAATTAAAATATAATTACATCATTTTCCTCCTTCCCTTTAACCTTTCCCCTGTATCCACCTACTCTTGCTCTCTCTCAAATACATGACCTCTATCCTCTCTAAATATATAATGCAGCCTGTTGAGTCTGTATAATGTTGCGTTTATGAGTGTGATTTGGGGGCTGATCACTAGTATTGGATAATCAACTCAAGGACCGTCCCGGGGAAGACAGTATTTCTCCAGCTCTCAGCATTCCCTAGTTGCCTGTAGCTCTTCATCTAGAGTCGAGGCTCAATGACAGGTCCCTCTTCCAGGTTAATGTGCTTGTTGGTATCATCCTTTTCAGGTCTTGTTTAGGCAGCTATATTGGTGAGGTGTCTGTCTATCTTTGAAGCTTCTCTGATATTTCTAGGACACAAAAATCTCTCAGCAAATTTCCTGTTCCTCTGGCTCTTTACAGTCTTTCTTACCCTGTGATCACTGAACCTTAGGTGCAGAAGTCTTCTTTTAAAAAAATTATTGTTTTTTTTTTTTTTGTTGTTGTTGTTGTTGAGAGTTTTTTGTTTGTTTTTCAAGACAGGGTTTCTCTGTGTAGCTTTGGATCCTGTCCTGTAACTCACTCTGTAGATCAAGCTGGCCTCAAACTCAGCAGAGATCTGCCTGCTTCTGCCTCCCAAGTGCTGCGATTAAAGGTGTGTGCCACCACAGCCCGGCTGAAACAATTACTGTATTTTTATTTGGTGTGTGTACATGTGCGTACATATTCCCGTGTAGAGGTCAGAGGACAGGAAATTGACTCTTTTATTTCACATGAAGATCCCAGGCATCAAACTTGAGTCCTTAGACTTGGCAACAGGTATCTTTACCCACAGAGCCTTTGATGATATGATACTGTCTTTGCCTTCTGGCCTAAGCATAGATGAAAATTTGACCCTAGTCTAATTCTGTTTTCTTTTTTGTTGACCATATTTTTTCTCCTCTGAACTTTTGAAAGTATTTTCTTTGGTATTTTAGAATATAATGAATGCTTCTAATTGTGAGTCTTTTGGCAGCGTGGTATTGGTGAACCCTGACAATCCAGACTCGCGTGCTTGTCTTTAGATATCTCTTTCTTGTTCTGAGCATTTCTCTGCTATTGCACCTATTATCAGTTCATAAGCACGGTCATTTGAGAATCACAGGCATACGAATATATATTTCTAAAAATTCCTGTTTCCCTTTGGGACTCTTGCTCGCTCTTTTCCTTGACTTTCATGTTTCTACTTAGTTTCAGCTGTCAACTTGACAACCTAGTGTTATGTGAGGGAGTCTGAATTGGGACATTTCTTGAAGCATATGGAGCATTTTTGTGATTGCTTAATTGATATTGAAAGACTATTCTTAGTTGTCAACTCAACTACATCTTGAATTAACTAAAACCTAAGGGGCTGGGTACACCTTTGAGGTGTTTTTTTTCTTAATTAAATCATTTGAAGTGGGAAGACTCACTTTTAATCTTGATCTTTTGAGGTAGTATGATACACCTTTAAATCTTTCATCTGGGCCACACCTTCTCGGCAGCCTCATGAGCTGAACCACTACTGAATTTTTGGACCTTCTGTTGGTAGATTAGCTGGACCACAGCCTAAAAACCGTTCTGATAAGTCACCCTTATAAGTGTGTGTGTGTGTGTGTGCACGTGTGTGTGTGTGCGCGCGCGTGTGTGTGTTTTGTCTAGAGAACCCTGTTAATGCAATGCTGATTCCAGACACAGGTGAAGCAGTGATTTCCTCTTTTTTTGTTTCATGACAGGGTCTCATTCAGACTTGCTGTTTAGCCAAGACTGACTTTGAACTCTTGATCTGCTGTCTTAGGAGCACTGAGGTTATGGGTATGCACCACCACACCCAGTTATTTTCCTGTTGTTGTGGTAAAACACCCTGACAAAACAGTTTGGGGAAGAAATTTGTTTATCTGACAATTCCAGCTTACGGTTCATCATTGCAGGGAAATCAAGGTGGCAGGAACTGGAAGCAACTGGCACATTGTATGCAGAGTCAAGAGCAAAGAACAGCGAATTAACACAATGCATTCTCTGCTTCCTCCATGCTTACCCAGTTTAGAAATCTTTTTAGGGAATAGTACCACCCAAAATGTTGATCTTCCCACCTTAATTAATTAAGATAACCCTCAGACAAATCTCTCCTTGAGATTTTATTCTCGGGTAGATCTAGATTGTGTCAAGTTAACAATTAGAACTACCACACTCAGCGATTATTTGGTTTCTGTTGTGGTGGTGGTTATTTTTATATGTATGGGTGGTTATCTTTATATATATGGAACCTTGTGCATGCAGTAGTACCCTCAGAGACCAGAAGAGGTCACCAGATCCCCTGGGACTGGAGTTACAGACTATTGGGAACAGCTATGTAGTCACTGGAAATCAAACCACGGTCCAGTGCTCTTAACCACAGAGCCATCTGTCAGGCCCAGAGATTTTAAAAAGTTTAAACTACTAGGAAAGCTACCAGAAGTCATCAGAAATTTTAGGATAGGTTAGTTTGGGCTGGAGATGGCTCAGCAGTTAAGAGCACTTGCTTCATTATCGTGAGAACTGGAGTTCATATATGAACCCAGCACCCATGTAACAAACCAGCTATGCTGTGCATACCTGCAGCCCCAGCTCTGGGGGGAGGGGGGCAGGAGGGAGACATGGACTGGAGGATCTTGGGGGCTTTCTGGTTTTCAGTTTATCAGAAAATCAGGGAGAGAACCTGCCTTAAAGGAACAGGTAGAGCTGGGCATTAGTGGTACACACCTTTAATCCCAGCACTCAGGAGGCAGAGGCAGGTGGATCTCCAAGTAGGAGGCCAGCCGCTTGGTCTACAGAGCGAGTTCTAGGACAGCCAGGACTACATAGGAAAACCCTGTCTCAAAAAACAAACAAAAAAGCAGGGAGAGTGATAAAAAAGGACTTCTACCTCCCTCCTGTGACCTCTTCATTTCACAGGCATGTGCACCTACACATGTGCATGCTTGTATATAGATGCACAGACACATATGTAAATAAATAACATCTTTTAAAATTATGTATTTTAAAACTGGATCACTCTCTGTTGGTTGTTGGCCCCCATTCTCTTACTGGATCATCTGGAGCAGAGATTGTGAACTTTTTCTTTGAGCAGGGATTCCATGTATTCTAGGCTAGCCTTGAGCTCACTATTGACCAAAATATGACCTTGAACTCCTGGTTGTTTTTCCTATACCTCCCCAGTGCTGGAGTACAGACTTGGTCCATTATATCTGGTGTATACAGTGGTGGGGATTGAACCCTAAGGCCTTGTGCATGCTGTGCAAGCACTCTACCAACTGAGCTATGTCTGCAAGACTGTGTTTGCCAAGCTTTTACAACTCAGCTCTTCTACTAAAATAAGTCTTGTGCAGAAGTCTATATATTTGCCGATACAGTCGGTGGTGCTCTGGGTGGGGTTACAGGGTGTCCATATTTTATGGCCCTGCCCTTACTCATGGCCCCTAATCTGCTTATCTGATGGAGGAGGGTCGTCTGTCTATGTGTTACTTTCATTGGCTAATAAAGAAACTGCCTTGGCCCTTTGATAGGACAGAAAATTAGGTAGGTGGAGTAGACAGAACAGAATGCTGGGAAGATGGGAAGTGAGGTCAGACGCCATGGAGCCAGCCGCCAGGTCAGACATGATGAATCTTTCCCAGTAAGCCACCACCTCGTGGTGCTACACAGATTATTAGAAATGGGTTAATCAAGATGTGAGAATTAGCCAATAAGAGGCTAGAGTTAATGGGCCAGGCAGTGTTTAAGTGAATACAGTTTGTTTGTTGTTATTTCTGGGGCTAAGCTATCCGTGCAGGAGCTGGGCAGGACTAAAAGTCGGCCTGCTCCCCTCACTATACTTATCCTTTGAGCATAGTTCTGAAAAGCTTTGATCTAGGGTTGCAAACCATTTATTTGTCTAGTGGGGAAAACTATGAGTTTAAAATTAATTATAATTAGTTTAGTTTGGAGCTGAAATAAGTTTGAATGTATTTTTTTCTTTTTTTGTGTTGCTGAGGATTGAACCAGGGCCTTAGACATTCAAGGCAAGCACCCTACCAACTGGATTCTAGTTAAGCAACAGTTACTGCAGTAGTATGGAATCTTCCATAGCACTAGTTGTCTTTTCAAGACATGTTTTCTCTATGTAGCCCTTGCTATCCTGAAACTCACTCTGTAGACCAGGCTGGCCTCAAAGTCACAGAGATCCTCCTTCTTCTCCCTCCATGAGTGCTGGGATTAAAGGCATGCACCCCAGGCGCCCGGCTTATAGCACTGGTTTCTAAACAAGGAAATAAGCAAAGTGTGATTGCTCACCTGTCTTTGTTTATTGAGCAAATAGCTTAAATTGATTTAGAAGCAACAATTTATAAAGAATAGCTGGAGATATCTCTCTCCTGCTTTACCTGTCTGCTGATAGTAAGAGTACCCATTGTAGCCTCTGTTGAAGCCTCTGTTGACATGTCTCTTCCTCCTCGTTCATACTGCAGGGTAAGTTGGATCTTTCAGAAGTGGGACAAAAGTGGTATATGGAAATCAGTGAAATGTTGCCTGTTTTGATGTGCTGGTATTGGACAGGGCCTAGTGATGCTCGTGATCTACCACTGAGCTGTTTGCTTATATCATTTTGTGTTTTCTTAACAGGAAAAAGCTAAAGAGCACATCTAAGTACATCTATCAAACATTGTTTTTGAATGGTGAGAACAGTGACATTAAGATCTGTGCTCTAGGTGAAGAGTGGAGCTTACACAAAATCTATTTATGTCAAGTGAGTATTTCCCTGATGAAAACATCAGACTGGGGAGCTGCTTGGAGAAGCCTGGGCTCTCTGGGGTGTGTTCTGCTGTTTGGTTGAGTTTCATAGTGAGCTCTCCCCTAGTGAAGTATCTGCTGGAAAGAAAGATGGTGGGCCCTGCAGGTGAAAGCTGACTGTTGCCTCTTTGTTGTCAAGAAGTTTGTTTTAGGGCTGGAGAGGTGGCTCAGAGGTTAAGAGAACTTGTAGTGAAGAGGCTAGCACGTCTGCTTTTCCTCCCGCACGGCTAGCTTAACCCCAGAATAATTACAAGAAACTGTATTCACTTAAACACTGCCTGGCCCATTAGTTCTAGCCTCTTATTGGCTAATTCTCACATCTTGATTAATCCATTTCTAATAATCTGTGTAGCACCATGAGGTGGTGGCTTACCGGGAAAGATTTATCATGTCTTACCTGGCAGCTGGCTCCATGGCGTCTGCCTCATTGCCTTCTTCCCAGCATTCTGTTCTGTCTACTCCACCTACCTATGTTCTGACCTATCAGGCCAAGCAGTTTTCTTTATTAGTTAACCAATGAAAGCAACAGGTAGATAGAAGACACTCCTACATCAAGAACTGACTGCTCTTCCAGAGGTCCTGAGTTAGATTCCCAGCACCTGTACAGCTGCTCACAACCATCTACAATGAGATCTGGTACCCTCTTCTAGTATGCAAGCATACATGGAGGCAGGGCACTGTATATATAATAAATAAATAAATCTTTTAAAAATAAATTTGTTTTAGTGCCTTTTGCTGAAAAATGGAAGAATTGGGGAGAAAATCTGTAACATTCAGGTTAAGGTTATTAATTAGAATGTTCTTTTTTTTTTTCTTTTTTTTTCTTTTTTTTTTTTTTGATTTTCGAGACAGGGTTTCTCTGTAGCTTTTGGTTCCTGTCCTGGAACTAGCTCTTGTAGACCAGGCTGGCCTTGAACTCACAGAGATCCGCCTGCCTCTGTCTCCCGAGTGCTAGGATTAAAGGCATGCGCCACCACCGCCCGGCTTTATAACAATTAGAATACATTTCTTTGAAATGTTGCTCTTTATAGAAAGTGAATGGGAAGTTAATGCTTACTAGAAAATCCAGTGGTGTTAAAAACAAAACCTGCAAGTGGTGATTTCATTTATCTGATGTGCTGTTTTTTTTTATATTTCTTAATGTTTATTTACTTTATTTTATGTGCACTGGTGTGAAGGTGTCAGATCCCCTGGAACTGGATCTTCAGACAGTTTTGAGCTGCCATGTGGGTGTTGGGAACTGAACCCCGGTCCTCTGGAAGAGCAGTCAGTGCTCTTAACCGCTGAGCCATCTCTCCAGCCCCTGATGTGCTGTTTTTTGAGGCAGGGTTTCTCTGTGTAACAACCCTGGCTGTCCTGGAACTTGATCTGTAGAACAGGCTGGCCTCTGGAACTTGATCTGTAGAACAGGCTAGCCTTGAACTCACACACTGCCTTCTAAGTACTAGGATTAAAGGCATGCGCCACCACCACCCAACTTTGATCAAAACTTTTAAAATTTATTTTTGAACAAGTTTACTTTGTTTTGAAGACTATAGTTCAAAATATTTTAAGAAAGGAAGGAAAGAGGAGATCCTTTTAAAATCCCAAAGAATATAATCAGGGTATACATCAAAATACCAATCTTTATTATATCTGTCTTTTGAATCCCTTTAGGTCTCTTACTGACCTAAAGGTGAGGTGGCCTCTGTGAAACCAGATTAGTCATCATTCAAGTCTCACAAATTATGCAGCACCTTCAGACAGAAATCATCGTCTATGTCCTTGTTATGGGCCATAGTCAACAGCTGGCCTCAGGTGTAACAACTCTGTTACTAATATTCGGAAAAAAGATAGTTGCATCTGTACTGAACATGTAAAGCTTTTGTCACTCCCTAAAAAACAGTGATATATATTACATTTACACTATACTAGGCATGACAAGCGACCTGCGGGGGATTTAAAGAGTGTGAGCCTATGCACAGTCAGGGCAGAGCTGAGGCACTGGAGCGTCATTACTGCTAACCGTCCTGGAGCACAGATGCAAACAAATGAGCATAAATGCTGAGGAATGCCCTGTTTCCCTCTATTTCAGTTATTTATATATTTTTGATGTGGAATGGAACTTTTAATTAGTTAATATTTCTTCTGTTCTAAAGAACTACAGTGCTAATTATGAGGAATAGATCCGGTAGGTAACAGATGTTACCCATGTTGGAATTCAGAAACAATTGTGGTCACATAAAACTAAATAGTGGGTCTTGTATTTCTTTGGGATACATTCTTTCTGGTCCAGTCTGGGAGTACTCTGGATCCTTAATCACTGTGAGACCACAGGGAGAAGTTAGTAGTTTGAGGAGGCCTTGTTTCCTCAGCTCTCCTGAATACAGAATCATACACCCACTGTGTGTGCTGTTGCTTGTGAGAAATCTGTGGTGTGCTGACCTGTGAGAAGCTGACCAGTTCCATGGAGACGCAGGTTTGGGACTCTGATAGTAGTTAAGATTCTGGTTTAGTTTGGCAGCAGTGTCAGAATGAACATGTTGTTAGTTCATTCTCCATAATGACCGTATTTTAATTTGTTTTCTCCTGTAGATGTTTTGATGCTCTTTTTCTCTTGAAGTGGTATGTTAGATCAGTTTTGATTAGAAACTTGGAGTTAGAAATGATAAAATACTAGCTAATGACAAATGTACTAGCTAATCATTGACTTTTTTTTCTAGTCTGGCTACTTTTCTAGTATGTTCAGTGGTTCTTGGAAAGAATCCAGCATGAATATTATTGAACTGGAGATTCCTGACCAGAACATTGATATAGAAGGTATGTGCTCCATAATTATCAATGTATAAAAATCATAAAAATGTAGCCTTACTATTCCTTGATGAAAAATATCCTAGCCTTATAGGCTAGGGGGAAGTTGTGTTTTCTGCTGAAAGGGAAGATTTCCAATTAATTCACTCCATAGTTTGTTTTGTCCTTCCTGTCACTATTTGTCACCGGAGTCCAATCAGTCTGCCCATGTGTCTGTGGATGAGAAGGATGTGGGAGAGGGAATAGAAGGTGGGACTACTTTTTAAAGGATGTATTGAGAGGTGGGAGTATAGTTAGGGTTAGAGTACTTTCCTACCCTGTACAGGGTTTGATCTCTAACACCAAAAAATAAAAATAAACGGTGTGTAAGGATCTTTTGTGGAGCAATAAGCATATGAATCACTTAACAGCCTGTGTCCAAGTCAGAGGATCTGTGGCTGCAGAAGCAAGGTTAGGGAGGAGGTAAGGGCTGTGAAAGCATCATGCAGATCGTCCTCTCCTGTCCCTATCCTAGTTCTCCTGCTCATCTCATTTGATAGGCCAAGTGGAGAAGCCCAGGACCTGCTCCATAGGCAGTGAAGCTTAAGGCATTCACAAAGCAAAGCGAGGAGCATTGATGAGAGAAGCACTGGAAGAGGAGCAGACTTAGCTGTGAGGAGCTGGGCTTGAGTGCCACAGACATGGCCAGGAGTTAAACTGACACCTTGGTGGCCTGGTACTATGGGTCTGTAATGCAGGCACTGAGGAGGGTCAGGCAGGAGGATTGCTGTGAATTGGAGACCAGCCTGAGATATATATATATATATATATAGTGAGTGGGCTCTGAAGTGATAGTTCATTTGTATTTTAATAAATAAAGCTTGCCTGGAGATCAGAGCGTAAAACAGCTTCCCTAGTCTGCCTTGCAGACCAGGCAGTAGTGACACACATCTTCAATCCCCATAGCCACACTAGTTGCCATAGAAACTGGGTGGTAGTGGTGCACACCTTTAATCCCAGTCTAGAGAGGAATATAAGATGGGAGGAGACAGGTCTCAGCTCAGTCTCATTCTGAGGTTCCTGGAGGCAGGATCACCATTTCAGACTGAGGTAGAGATAAGAACCAGTGGCTGGTTGTTTTGTTTTTCTGACTTTCAGGTTGAACCCCAATATCTGTCTCTGGGTTTTTATTAATTGTGCTACAGAGCTCCTTACCTACTCCCCTAAAGAAAATACTATCATGGAGTGATGGGCTGTGTACCTACACTTAGTGATTGATCCACTCACTAGTTCTGATAGAACTATGCTCCAGGCCTCAATCCTAACTACTGACTATGTTAAGATTATAGAGAGAAGAGTATGGCAGGAATGGGCAGAATCCACCGCAGCAAGCACTGTTATGTGATAATACCTTCAGTAGCCATGGCTGCCATTTAATGGTGCTTCACTAGGTGCATACTAATGTCCTTTCTGCTTTCACAGGAGCCTCACACTTGCAGGGAGCATTTTAATACATGTGTGCACTTTTGCTTTTAGCACTGCAGGTTGCATTTGGCTCACTGTATCGAGATGACGTCTTAATAAAACCCAGCCGTGTTGTCGCCATCTTGGCTGCAGCTTGCATGCTGCAGTTGGTGAGTATGCCACCACTCAATGGTGTCACAGTGCCTGGAATATCTTGGTGCACACCTCTAAACAGAAGTGAAATTCTGCTTTTTCAGTCTTTAAAACAAAATGTATAAATACGCCATTTGTTAGAAATTGTTGAAATACTCAATCGAAGCTAAGTTAGTTAAATTGAGGGCTTTAATCTCTGTGAGAAGTAGGTGGAGTAGATACACCTCCTTGGTGTGTCTCCAGTTGGGACCATCCACTTGCCCACATCCTCTGTAGACTTCTGTCCATTGGTGACATCACTGCTGAGTGATGGTTTGTGATCAGTAACTTAGTCAAAGAAACGCTGAGTCTGTTATTTAAGCTTTCTAATTATGATATCATCCTATATAAATGATGTGTGTCAATCAGTGACTGTATATTGAGTATACTGTGTAGTGTGTGGGACTTGGTGAAGGGGGCCAACAAGGATGAAAATGTGGTCTCTAAATATGAACAATCTGTGTGTGCCTTCAAGGAGCTCACAGTGCTATGAGGGTCAGGTGAGAGGTGGATACATAGCTCAGAGGTCCAGTTACCTAATGTTATGAGTGTAGCATAAACGCCTCATGGGGTCTCATGGACTAGTAAAGACAGGAAGGGCCAGCTCAACCTAATATCCTCACAGGACCCTGTATTTCTAGACTGAGTTTGAAGTGTGCATACCTTGCACTATGTGAAAAGGGGACAAAACAACATTTCGGGCCAGGAACAGAAAGACCTAAAACGTGAAAGGGTGGAGAGTTAGGGAAGTTAAGGAGTCTGGAATTCCAGTATCAGTTAAGTAGAGTTGGAAGACTGGCAAAACAGTGGAGCCTTTGTAGGTACCTGCCACCAAATCTGACAGTTTGAGCCCCATCCCCAGGACACATAGGGTAGAAGGAGAGAGCTGACTCCCCAGGTTATCCTTCGATTGCTACATGCATGCTATAAAATGTGTGCTCCACCATTCATACAACATAAATTAATAACTATGTCAAATATCCAGGTATGGTAGTGCACATCTTTAATCCCAGCACTCAGGAAGCAGAAGCAGGCAAATCTCTGAGGTCAAGATCAGCCTGGTCTATAGTGACTTACAGACCAGCCAAAGTTACATAGTAAGATCCTATCTTAAGAAATAAAACAAAAAATAAATAAAAATAAAAAAAGATTGGAGAGAAAAACTTAGACCAGGACATGAAGGTTCCTTTGTACGTTAAGTTTAACTTTATCTGTGAGCACATTTGATTTCTAGATTTTAATCAGGGAAAGATAGTTTCTACTTTAGGTTGGCTGAGGGTGCAGCTCTGTGATGGAGCACTCGCCCAGCATGCACAGGGTCTTGGGTTTGTTTCCCAGCCCCACACCAAAACAACAAAAGACTTTCAAGTACAACATGTGAAGGGAAGCGAGTGCATTAGAGACACAAATGTACGCGATCGTCCAAATGCCATCTGGATGAAGATAGCAGTAATAACCACAGAGAGGAAAAGGCTCCAGAAGTTGAGGTGTGTGGGGAGGGTCTACTGGGGCAGTGAAGTTAAGGTGTTAGGAAAAGGAGGGTCTAGAATTGAGGTAAGTTCAAAAACCAATGCAGCAATTTTGTGCTTTAATTTAAGCTTATGTGGTTTGACCTGCTGAACTATTTAAAGTGCTAGTTATTAGCTTGTTTATTGTCCTGGTTGATATTTTTTCAAGTATTTTTATCTTTCCAACACTTATTTTGAATATATTTTCTAACTTTAGTCCTTTTGGATTTGTTCTAAGTCTGCTTTCTGCCTTATTTTTATAACTTACTAACTCTAACTTAATAATATAGTTGCATGATGAGTATATTTCAGAAATTTAATGAAAAATGACAGTATTCTTTTTGTACATAGGAGGTGGTTTTTTGAAACCTATGTGATTCTTTTAGATTAGAATATTAATTTGTTATTTAACACTATGATATACTTTAGAGGCCTCTTTTGGGTACTAATGGTACTTTAAACTTTACTGAGTGATGTTCCATACGTCTGTATTATTTCTTTGTCTATTCTGGCTCTTGATTAGCTGACTGTGAAAATTCTTAGATTAATAAGAGCAGGAAAAAACATACAGTAAGGTGCTGTTGAAGAAAGAGAAAACAAGGCCCACAGCATCTCCTGTTGCTGTGCCTCACCTGCCCATTTCATCCCCAGTTCTAGGTGTTGAGTGGGGGTACTTGCTAGATTCTTTTTTCAGTATTTTTATTAAACTTAGAAAAACATTTAGGCTTGCTGCACTTGATGAATTTCCTTCCATCCTTCCATCCTTCTTGCCATCTTGCCTTTTGTCCTTTCTTCTGTCCTTTTGTCCTTCCTTCCATTCTTCCTTCCTTCTTCCTTCCATCCTTTCTTCTGTCCTTTGATCCATCGTTCCATTCTTCCTTCCGTCCTTCCTTTCTTGCTATTTTGATTTGTTTTTCCTTTGTAATATGTGGAAGCCCCTATGAGCGCTGGTTTTCCAGGTGGAATGGCCTTTGCAGTGCTTGTTTATATTTACAGGATGGTCTAATCCAGCAGTGTGGTGAGACAATGAAGGAGACAATTAATGTGAAAACTGTGTGTGGCTATTACACCTCAGCAGGGACCTATGGATTAGACTCTGTAAAGAAAAAGTGAGTCACTTTTCCTTTTCCCATCCCACTTCTGGGAATTTGGTTGTTTTGGAATTTTACAAGGATATAAGAAAGAATTAACGGGGGAAAGAGCAGATGATAGAACTCGTTGCTTTGAAAGCCTGCCTTTCTTCTTGACTGAGCATTAAGCTGCTCTGAGTTGCTCTTGGCCATGACAGGCCTGACATATGCTCATACAGCTGTGGCCACCACTTAGGGAGTTAGTATCGTAGACTTGATACTAACAAATACGGACAGTTTGACTCTTGAGAATTGCAGAACTCATTTTCAAATTGTATAGAAGGTAACGTCTTACAAGGTATTTAACTTCTTAATGAGAAATGATACTAATATAAAGGGAATGTCCCCTAATAACTACTGACAAAAGCTATACTAAATTTCAGATCACTGAGGTAGAAACTTTGAGCATGGCCTAGCATGATTAATATCTTTTCTGTGAACTATAAGACGTCGGGGAGTTACGAGTTTCAGATAAAAGAGCTGAGCACACTTTATCCTCAGGTGCCTTGAGTGGCTGCTGAACAACCTGATGACTCACCAGAGTGTGGAGCTTTTCAGAGAACTCAGGTATTTGGATCCACGTAACTTCACAGCACTCCCTACAGTGACGCTTCCATTTGCTCAGGCATTCCAGGTGTCTTTGTAAAACACAGAGAATAGTATGAGAACTAGACCTAGAACGCACACCTTTAATCCTAGCACTTGGAAGGCAGAATCTCTGAGTTAGAGGGCAGCTTGGGTTGCATAATCAAGTTTCAGGACAGCCAGAGCCACATAATAAGACCCCGTCTCAAAAAAAGAAGAGTCAGAACAATGTAATGAAAGGCACCCTGACTGTATGCACAGACTGAGCAAATGCTCTGCATCTAGCTCTCACCATAAGTGATAAAAATGCTCATGTGTTGTTTTAATAATTGCAACAGAAATGTCCCACTCCTCAAGACTGTAAAGACTTCCAAACCTGTAGAACTTCAAAGGGGATAGTTTGAAAACCATTTTTATCACTAACATGATGTTTGAAAAAAAATAAATCAAAACATGTTTTAGAGGGTAAGTGTTTTTTAAAGATTTATTTTAGTGTAAGTTTGTTTGCCGAGTTTGTCTGTCCAGGAGTCCTTAGAGACCAGAAGACGTGTAGGGTCCGCTAGAACTGAGGTTGTAGATGTTTGTGAGCCTCTGTGTGGGTGCTGGGAAGCAGTGAGCCCTCCTAATTACTGAGCCACCTCTCCAGACCCTATTTTAAAAATTTTATGGGACAATAGATGACTCAGAGGCTAGAGGGACTTAAGAAAAAAAAAGCCGATTGACCTGAATTCTATCCCCAGATCCACAAGGAACCAGTCCCTAAGACTTATCCTATGATTTCCATGTCATGAACTGTTCTCTCTCTCTCTCTCTCTCTCTCTCTCTCTCTCTCTCTCTCTCTCTCTCTCTCTCTCTCTCTCTCTCTCTCTCTCTCCCTCTCCCTACCTTCCTCTTTCCCTCCCCTCCCTCCTGTTTGCACAGTGCTTGACTGAGCACTGCTCCTAGAAATGTCAAATGTGAGGAACTGGGTTTCATAGGTTTGATCTGATGCCCACCATTGCAATAAAATGCCTGTAGACTTATCTTATCTCTGACCATAGGTCTTGTTTTAGAAAATTGTTGTGTTGAGAACAATTTTCAGCTATATTGAAATGAAATATTCCAAGGAACAGTTGCTATTTTTTAAACAATGCTTTTCAGTTTCTTTTGAGTCAGGGTCCTGCTAATATCCCTAGTCAATCTGGAACTCACTATTACTCTTTAATATTGCAGCTTGTATTCTTAAGGCATAGGACTGCATGGTAGATGCATTCACTGGGGCTGGGCATTCCATGGTTAATTGTTCTCTGAATCTGAGAAGGATTGGAGGCCCTGGGAAAAGCTGGAGGATGAGAGGGTAGAATAAAAATCAAGTAAACACAGTACCTATGTACGAAGTTTTTGAAAAGAAAATAAGTTTTAAAAATGAAGCTCTGGAAGTTATGACACTTCAGGCTACCCTTGGCTGTGCACCTGGAAGATCCAGAAGTTGTGCTGCACCATCTGAGCTCATGAAATCCAACTGTGTGGTTGTGGGGATGGGAAGTTGTACCAGGAACTAAGACCCATTAGATATATTTGGGGTCCCTAGAATGTCTACCTCAACCACAGGTACCTGCAAACTTAGGGTGAACATCTTACCTACTGTCTCCAGGAGGGCTGTAAGGTCAAATGTAGGAAGACTGATATTGGAAGTCTGGTGAACTATGCAAAGTTCGGTTAAAAAACATTTACAAATGTACTTGCACAGTCATTTTTGGATGTATGTTTTTGTTCATGTATAGTATATATGTGAATTTTTGTCATATACATGTATATATAGTATTTATAAATGTGTATACGTAAATGTCTATTCATTTGTATGTATTATATATGTGCATATAGGCATATACACATATAAACATAGTTGATAGATAATTAATGATAGATGATAGATAGATAGATAGATAGATAGATAGATAGATAGATAGATAGATAGATAGATTGTAGAACCACAAGGTTGGGTATGAATTAGAAACTTTTAAAATCTGTTTACTCATTCACTATAAATAACCCAAGCCTTGTATTTAACAATAGGAAAAACTCATCCACCAAATTTTCCAATCCTAGCAAACCTTAAGAGACAGCTTGTTTGGTCCCTCTTTTTTATTTAAAGGAAATAATCAAGGTAAGCTGACCACAAGGAAGTCATTTCAATAGAAAATGAAAGTAACATATACATGGGAGACACAAATGGAAAAATTCGAGTGGAAGTGGTAGTCCATCCCCTACCTACTCTTTACTTTGATAGCCATCCCACTTTCTCCAGGGAGAGGTGGGAACTGGCCTCCCCGGAATTGCCTTTTTCAACTATTATGAGGCATTTATCTCTAGTGGATATTCTCTAGCTCACTTTTTTATCCTGTCTTCCTTTCTCCCTCCCTTTTCTAGTGTCTATACCTCTCTCCTCCTCCTCCTTCTTCTCCCTCTATCCCTGTTCCCTCTCTTCTTTCCCACTTCTCTCTGGATCTGTTTGTATCTTTATATTTTTAAGTATCTGACTCTCTTAATTTCTCTCTGACTACTTTTCTACATTTTGCACCCCCATACATACACACACTTGGAAATCTACCATTTTTGCCACCTTCCAGACTCCATCTCTTATTAATGATTCGCCTCAGCCTGGTGAAATGGTGTTACTTGCATGAGCAGAAAACTTGACTCATCTTTGCCCAGGGTGTCATGTCTCCCCACCCTTCTGGAAGTCTGCTACTTCCAGGGATGGATGGAGAATAGGATTTGTGTGTGTGTGTGTGTGTGTGTGTGTGTGTGTGTGTGTGTGTGTACTCACACATATGAGCTTGAAGATATAAGTTCAGGTAAGGAAATTGGCCCATGATCTAATCTGATCCCCTGGCTCGTTACATGGACCCCAGAGGCTGCTTTTGAAGGGTCCTGGTCAAATGTGCATTTGAGAAAAGAATTTTTCTCCCACTCTGAAGAAGAGTAAGAAAACACAGACTTGTTTATACCCTGCAGAGACCCCTGTTATCTCTTACCCCGTCTTTGAAGTTTATATTTAGTAAGAAAGAGAAACTCTGGGAAATCCGCAGTTTCTAATCTCCAGGCATCTGGTTTATACTGTTCTCATTTAGGATGATGAGATGGGCTGAATACACCAGGATAACTCACTTTTCCAGACTTGCTGGGCTTTCGTTTTACTTATCTCACAGGAAATGTCTCTTGAATTGATATTTCTCATAGCAATAATGATGCCAATGAAGCTCCCACTCGTAGTGTGTTAGCTGTTTGCAAGGCAAAATGCCAACTCTGTCCCTGATAAGATTCTATTGATGTTGTTGAACTAGTTGTGTTCACATTTATTTTCAAATGTAGAAAATGAGAGTCTAAGGACCAGTGAAGCTGAGTCAAGAGTCGAACTCAAACTTAAGAGAGTGTTGTATTTCATCATGCTATTTGCCCTTGAAAGGGGCATGGCTGTTGGTGTCTTAGTCAATACGACTATCTAACTCAGTACTTATGTGTAGAGCACTCAGGAAAGGTAAGTTGTGACAGACACTGTAGGGTGGCTTTATTGCTGTTTGAGGTTTGTCAGCTCATTGCCCGAATGAGGAGGCAGGATCACAAGGAACCCCTGAGAACTGGAAGTTACAAAATGATCTGGTACCCGTGCATATTTAGATGGATGCACTCCTTTTCTGTGTTTCATTTTCTTCTTCTGTGCAATGGGAATTTTCACACTTACCTTGTACTCAGTACAGCTTGACCTTAAATATGACAAGACAGTAGGTGTCTGTGACAAATAACAAAGAATTTTACTGGAAGAGAGAGCTACAAAAAGATAACAGTAGACCTATTTTATCAAGGGGGAAAGGCTCATATTATAGGGCCACTGTGGATGGCAGGAAGATTGTCTGGGTAGAATTGCTAGGGTTGGGCAAACATCAAAGAACAAGATTTGGTGGCACAAGCCTCTAAGCCCAGCTATTTAACAAGCTGAGATGGGATGATGACAAGTTCAGTAGCTTTCTGGGCTGTAAGGAGAGGCAGTCTAGGCGACTTGATGACACACTCTCTCAAAATTCAGAAAAGAGATGGCACCAGCGGCGGCCGGAACCAGAAGCGCACGGCACCAGCGGCGGCCGGAACCGGACCCGGACGCGCACAGCTGGCGATGTAGCTGGCGCAGCGGCCGGGACCGGCGGGTACTGACACAGTGGCAGACAAAGCAGGCGACAGGGACCAGTGCAACACCAAGAGCAGATCGCCCCAGGACAATTAAATCAAAGAGGTAGGCCTTTGGTTGGCGAGGTCCCGGGCAAACAGGGAACCTGGATCTTTTCCTGAAGACCCGTCTGAGGGGTGAGAGGGATCTTGGCCCCTGGCAGGAGCCAGGAAACAGAACGAGGGAATTTTGCAAGAGGAGCCTCTGGCCAGCAGGGAAACCTGATCTGGTTTTAAAAGACCAATTAGAGATCGTCAATAGGAGGAGATGGGCAGGCGCCAAGGCAAAAATTCTCCCAATAAGCTGAAAAACAACATGAAAGCACCAGAACCCAATGATCTTACAACAGAAGGACTTGAACACCCTAACACAGAAGAAGTGGAAAAAATCGACTTTATGAAAGCAATAGAGTCCCTTAAACAATATGTAAAAAACACCTTTATAGAAATGGATGA